TTTAATTCTACTTTGGTTCTTATTTGAAATACACTGGGACTTTCTGAACTGATCTGTTTATTCTACAAATGTGTGCACACATGAGAGAGAAAGACAGAGAGAAGGCCCTCCCCCAATGAGAGTCACACCACAATTCTTCATTATGTCGGGATCTCTGGCAGGCATATTTTATAAGCTTACAGGGACAGGACTCAAACTCTGGTCAGCCATGTAGGCACTGACCTCTGCTTAGCAGCCCACTGCTGTGCTTTGAAGCCAGCCCTAGGTATTATATTTTATCAAGCTCACCTTCTCAAAACAACTCAGAAATAGATTCAGTTCTTTCCATTTTAGATTGAAGAATTAAAGATTGAGAGTGGGGTAATGAGGGTTCAAACCCAGGGCTCCAAATCCCCCAACATATGGACTGAATCTCTCCCATTTTCAATTTTATTTGACCCTTGGTACAAATAAGGATCTTAGCCTCTCATTTATACCTTGGATTAAATAAATATAGAATTGCTTTAATACAGTTTTACCCATAATAAAGTCTGTGAGAGTATGTCTTCCACCATCAGGAATATACTAACTAGAAATAGAAGTTGTATGGAAATAGGAATGAACAATCCACAGATAGTAACAGAAGTGACATAAAATATGACAGAAAACATTACATATTCATATCAAAGGCTTGGGAAAAAATTCGAAGTATTGGGTTTGGCTGTGAGGGTGATTTGGCCTAGGTTTGGCATAGCTTTAGACAACACCAGCTTCATGACAGTACTCATACCAATAAAGCAGAAATGATTTTTTAAGGAAAGAACAAACTTGAAAAGCAGAAGTAACCTGAGGTTTTCATTATTTGTAACACTTCTGGAACATTTTCTCAGAAAAGAAATGTGTTCTATACATACACAAATACATACATAAATATTTATACATCTATTATATATGTATGTGTGTGTATATATATACACATACATATATACACACACACACACACACACGTATTTGCAAGTAAATATCTTGTTTTTGTATATAGTAAGTGCCATTCTCGTTCACCATGAGAAAATATGTGAATATAGTTACAAACTAGAGGTGTGACACTACGCTCATGACAATGAGAGAAATTTGAAATAAGATCCTACAACAGCTGTGGAGGACTCAGGCAGTGTGGAATGAAGTGACGCTTTGACTGCAGTATCAGAAAGGGCCTGTGTTTGGGCCAGTTACCTTTTCTTTTTAAAGGTTTTTGCCATACGGCACATGCACTTGCCAGAGAGACAGAGAGATAGTGAAAGGAAAAGTAAAAAACCACTCTGTGGGGGCATGGCCATGCTGCAATCCATTCCCTCCTGGGATTTTGGGCATGCATGCACATGTGCCCAGCATGAGTTTCAGCTTGCTGGATCTTGGGCTCTATCCACGGTTGACCATGTGGGAGTTCAGTGCCTTAACCACTGTGTCACCTGCTGGCCTTGCATGTTACCTTTTTAAGCTTCAGTTTCTTCAACTGGACAGTGACAATAATGCTAACAGCTACCTTATGGGCTGCAAGAGTCAAATGAGGAGACAAATTCAAGTGTCATAGAAAGAAATCAATAAATGCCTGTAATTATTAGTGTTGTTGATAGTAAAGTTTTGATCATGCTATTATTACTCTTAGGAAGGTGAAGATTATATTGTGTCAGTAAGTTCATATGTCAAAAGAATCATCCAATGGATTTATCTGTGGAGACTCAACTCAGTTTAAAATTTTTTTTTTTAATCACTGTTTATCCTTACAGTGTATATATTTTTTTCCCAGCATGAATACATTGCTTATTAGTCTAGTCCAAGACATTACCATATACATTATCATCAACAGGTACCTTTTCAGTTTTGTGTCTGTTAAATGTTCTTTCTTCCTGATTCCCTCCTCCTGCTTCCTGCTACCCTGCCCCTCCTATACTGTCTTTAGTATCTATAGTTACCCTCCTTGCTTCCTGATTCCCTCCTCCTGCTTCCTGTTACCCAGCCCCTCTTATACGGTCTTTAGTATCTATAGTTACCCTCCTTGCTTTTAACTCAGTTGTATTTGGCAACAGCTAAAAGATACCACGCTGATCTATGGGACTAATACAATTATTTTGCAAGATTTTATTAACATGCATTTCTACTATAGGAAAGTGTAAATTTTGTTTTAAAATTATTTTTTTAATTATTTCATTTTGGTAAACATTAAGAAATTTTTTCTTTTTTTCCTTTTTTTTTAATTTGTCAGAGAGTGCATGCTCCCACCAGAGAGACAGAGAGAGATAAGGGTGTGAGAGAGAGAGAAAATATCCCTCAACAGGGCATGGTTATGCTACAGTCCCTGCTCCGTTTTTCCATGGGCATGGACATACACATGCCCGGTATGTTTTTAAGCCACTGGGGCTGGGACCTGAACCATTAGGTCGGCCATGTGGGATCTGGATGTGGCCCCTTTAACCACTAGGGCCATGGGGCCAGCCCAAACATTAAAAGTTTTGAATGTTTTATTCATTAATTAGAGAACTGAGTCCTTTCGGTTGAATTTGTTTTTAAGTTTATATTCTTTCTTCATTTCTCTCTCTGTCTCTGTTTCTTTCTTTCCTTTAAAAGATAAAGGGAGATACCCTTGGCAGACTCTGACTGATCCTCCTTTCAGACTGTCAGTCAGCCAGGATCAAGGGTGCATGTGGGTTTGCCTTGAATGTTGAGGTCAACCCCAGGTTTCAAACCTGGGCCTTCCAAAGGTTCAGACAGTGGGGTGCCTCCAGTATCATGCAGGGGTGCCCGACCACCCAAGCCACTGTGGCTGGGCCCAAATTCTCTTGAATTCCACGTGCCAGATCATAAACAACTTCAGTCAGCATTGACTGGTCACTTAAAGTTGAATCAGCAAGGTTACCTTAAGAATAATATGTTATTATGAATCAAAATAATCTTATCTGTCCCACAATAAAAGCATGTCTACTAGGTTATAAGTCTTGGTACATGCTTTAAAGTAGAGGAATTGGGAACTAGGAAAGATTATTTTTGGATTCAGTTATGCTTAGTAGTTAAAAAATCAAAACAAAACAAGGCACTTGGGTTTGCAAAATGAGTGATGAAAGTTTTCTTTTTTTAAAATAGACCATTTGGCACTCTCTGTTAACATAGTTCAGAAGTTCAGTTAATTTGATGGAAACATCCCTAGTTCTCATTCTTTTCTGTATTTAGCTAAACTTTTTTTTCCCCTAAACAACATGTTTTGAAGTCAATATTTTACAAGAGATGCTTTTGATAGTATTCTTGATTTTTGAATAAGAGTTCAACTCAAACATCGTTAATGATATATTTCTTGGTAGCTCTATTCTTACATGAATCCAAACTAAATATCACATTGAGAAAAGAAAACACAGTAAAGATTTTCATTTTCTCATTCACCAGATCTCCATGGTATGATTGAAAGAGTTCAAAATGACTTAGAAATCTAGCTTTACTATTTTGGGTAAGGTAATTAGCATTTCTGGGCCTTCTGTACCCTCTCTGTGAAACTGTGAAACTGTTGCTTCCTTCAAGGGCTATTGTGAGGATTAGATGAGATAATTCTCATAAAATGCCTAGGATAGCATCTGGCACATAGCAAGAACTCGGTAATATTTCTCATCTCCCTTCTCTGGCATCACTGTTAAACACTCTGCTAGTGGCTTGAGATGGTTTCTGTTTCATCCTGTCCCTATTAGTATTTGACATGCAATTAAGGCCTTAGAGTAGAAATCTATATATAACAAAATTCTGTTAATTCAGAGCGAGTAAAGCAAAGTTTTTGGCTATTGTGTTTTATGAGAATTGGAGTTCGATGCTTTAAAAATTGTAATATTGTGTGGAGACTGTATTAACCAAATGTTACCTATGCACTACTTTCTGTTCTCATGTATGGATAACTTTATATGTGTGTGTGTATACACACACACACACACACACACACACACACATATATATATATACTTTTGAACTATTTTAGGAAAAAAGCTTTTCCTTTACATATTTTTAAACCCTTTGTCATTTTCCTCCCATTTTTATCTTGTTACAGTTATTTTTTTAAAAAGTTACCAATTCTGGAGTAACCGATCCCAAATAATGCCTCACTAGAGTCTAATTAATAAAATTTTAACTATTATTATTTTATAATTTGAAATTGTATTTTCAAGATGTATTTTAACTATGATACTTATAGGCCAGTGACAAAAATTATATTCTCCTTTTTCTACATTTGTTAGGATATTTTAATATTCTGGACCTCTATCACAAATGCCTACAAATTTGTTTTTCTTTTTCTTCATTTTCTCTCTCTTTTATTTCTACTTTTTTTTTTTCCTTTTTGTGCAAGAGGGTGTAAGTACTCACACAGAGAGACAAAGAGACAGAGAGAAAGAGGCAAAAGCACCCTCCATGGGGCATGGTCATACTGCAATCTCTTCTCCATTTCCTCCTCCTTTTGGGGTTTTAGGCACACACACACATCTGAGGCTTTCTCAGGCTACAGTGTTCATAACTCAAACCATGTGGATTGGCCATGTGGGATCCAGCTTCCTTAGTCACCAGGACACAGAGCCAGCTGTCCACTTTTTAATATTTTACCCTTGAGTGGTTTATTACTTCCAATGACATGTCCTTAAACAACGAGTCTTGCAATAATAACAATATCTAAAGAGTGAAGAAAATAAGTAAGATCTAAGGATTTAGGTTTTTCAAACCCAAAACTACCTGCGCAGTTACCTAGCTAGATTAAGAAATTTTAAAGTGTATATTAATGCTTTTTAAAGGAACATTAGATCATTTAAGGAGTGTGCCCCTGACTCTTGAGTAAGGACTAGAACTAAGAAACTAAACTGGAATAACTGATCGAGAACTGTGACTTTTACACTTTAAATATATTTTTTGTCTGTTTTTGAAATTAGATAAGGGAATAAAAGTGTCCTATAATCTTGTAGTTTTTAATGTATTTTTAATGATTGTTTATTTTCTTTCAGAACTCTTGATGTTTCAGTGAGTTTTAATGGAGGAAAATCTGTCATTTCCAGTTCATTAATAATCACAGCTACAGAGTGTGTAAGTAAAAGTTTGCCTAACGTTTTGCCTAAAAAAATAATTTGATTAGGACCAGCAGTTGGCGTTATGGCTGTCGCTGGACTCCCATGCAGTTTGAGCCCCGGACCTGGTGACTTAAACTCATGCTGGGTGCGTGTATGTGCGTACCAAAGATCCCAAGAAGAGAATGGAGGAGAAGGGATTGCGGCATGGCCATTCCCCCTGGGGGGTGACTTCTCACTTTCTGTCTTTTTGTCTGTCTCTGTCTTTCTGGTGAGCACACGCCCTATAGCAAAAACCTACTCCCCAAAAAAAGAAAAAATTTTATCCAGGTATAATCTATGCAGCTTCAGTGTTCCTGTATTCTTCAATAAAGAAGGTAAAAATAATAATAACATTGGAGACCAATACAAGGAAAAATTTATATAAAATTTATTATTTTTTTATTTAGCCTCCTTTAAAAGGAATTTCAAGATACTATACATTAGGTTTTGATATCTATAAAATTCAAAATTCATTTTTAAAATCAGAATAGCATAAGATGATGATTTCCAAATGTCTTAAAACATTAAATGTGGAAATGATAGTATTGTCTCTTGTGAAACTAGATCTTAGTAGATAAGACATCATGTTTGGAATCTTTAGTACATATTAAGGATGACTTTATTATTTTGTCCACTTTAAATATTGGTGTTCTCTAACATGAGTAAAAAATTGATTTTAATATTTTGAAAATATCTTAATTTGAAACTACATTGAACTATATTTTAGTTGACATTATTGATGTGCATTACCTAAGATGCAATAGTTTGAAATGTAAGCTACATTTGTAAAAGAGTTTTTTTTTCCTTGTAGTTAATTTGATGAATTCATTGAAAGTTTTGATATTATACTGTTGAAAATGAAAACAGGAAGCACTGAAACGGACTGACCACATGGCTTTTATTTTTAAGCATGTATTTCCTTTGTAAAATAAATAAATAAATAAATAAAAGCAAAATTCCTGTGCTCAAAAAAATAGAATCTCAAACTTAGGTATTTTCTTGCATCTTATGGTTTCATGATTTTGTAATTTGATTAACTTGGGAAACAATCTTTAGGTGGGGACAAACCCAGCCAATTCAATGGTATCTGTATTGATAGCAGTGTTTGTCATTGTAAGACAATGTTGCAGGGAACAGGAAAAATCCATGTCGACTCTTGGGTCACTTCAAACTTTCTGGCTAACTCTTTATCAGCACCTGTTTTTATTTTTAAAATAGCTTGTTTTTTTTTGTTTTTTTTTTTTGGTGTTTTGAGTTGTGTGTGTGCATATTTTGTTTTTATTTATTTTACATCTGCAATGCATGTTGCAATTTGTAGTTTTGTGGATGTTGCAGTTTGTAGGTTTTCTGGTCCCTCAGGATGTGGTCGAGGTTACAAATATTTGTGGTATGAAGTTTCTCAGTGTATAGTTTGCTGAAATGGCATTCTTTCTCCATCCTTCTTATTCTGCACTTCCAGCTGTCTTATTTCACCTCTCTTCCCCGGGAGTAGGAAAACAGTTCTTTGTTTCTATTTTACAGCTACACATGATTTCCACGTGAAGGGATGTTGAAGTTAAATGACTCATTTGGGACTGATAGATTGTGTGCTTTCAGGACTCTTTCCAGGCCTTGCTAATTTCTGAGAGAGGTTACTGTGACTTGAGATGGTTTAAGAGTGAGGTGATTTCAGAGAAAGGAACGATGATTGTGTGAGAGATGGAGAGACAGAGAAGGGAGAAGTGATGATATTGAGAAGAGGAGATTTGAGCAAAGACTTGAGGAAGGTGAAGGAGTGAGCCTACAGACCGTCTGGGGGAAGCATGTTCCAGGAAGAGAGAGCTAAAACAACGCCTGAGGGGGGCCATATCAGTTTAGAGAGGAGCAGGGTGGCCAGTGTGTTGGAGTGGAGGTGGTGGAGGGGATTGAGAGAGGGGAGCAATAGTCTCAAAATGAGTAGAGGAGAACAGAAACGCTGGGCAGAACATGTAGGGGGCTCATAAATCATCCCAAGGTCTTGGGCTGTTCTTGTTGGTAGAACAGAAGGAGACAGGATTTGACTTATGTTTTAAAAGGATGACTCTGGCTGCTGTGTGAAAGTAGGCTTTGGAGGTAGAGACAAAAGTGGAGATACTGACACCAATTCTGTGGCTAGTTTAGTAATCTACGTGGGGTTAGGGAGTGACCCTAGTGGGGTAATAACAGTGGGGATGGTAAAAAGTGGGTAAAATAGACATAATTTAAAAATGGGGCCCATGGGATGCCTAGACTTATTTGATGTGGAGTGTGAAAGAAAGAAAAATTAAGCATAGTTCCAAGCTTTTTCTCCTGAGCAAATAGAAGGATGATTTGTTACCAGATAGAGCAGTTTCTGCAAAATGAGAAGTTCTGTTTTGGTAATGTTAAATGGGCAATGTCTGTCAGACATCTCAGTGGCAATGTCTAAGATGGCTGCAAATCTATAGGTCTGGAGTTCTAGACAAAGTTCTGGATTAGAGGTACACACTTGGAGTTGTTAACCAATGGATGAAATGAAACCAAATTCCACCTGGTATTTACTGGAAAAAAAGGGGCTTTTAGGAGGTTAGAACAAGAAGGCAACAAAGACCAGAGAAAATTTATATTAATGGGGAAAAATCAAGATGAGAAAGGAGAACAAGACAGGCAAGAAGAGAGAAGAAGAAATAATATTACAAATAAAGAGCAAACAGGGTGGGGATGCCCTGAAGAAAATGAGAGTAAATTAATTTGGTTGAAGTGGAAATAAGTGGAAGGAAATTTTGGAAATAGATTTAGATCAGAGTATCAATACCTAGAAAACAAGTTTGAATTTAGAGTTTATTCCACAAGCCTATGATTCCCAAACTACCACAAAGAGATATCATTGATAGAATGAAAAAAGAAAGAAACTTAATCACATTTTTCATGTTAGATTTATTCAACTTAAAAAATATTTTTGTTCTAGAATTATTGATCCTGCCACTTTATTTTTAAATATTCCTTGATTGAAAAAATATAATTTCTTCAGTAAAATGTTAGGCCTTTCATTTCTTCCTTCCCTCTCCCTTTCTTCTTTCTGTCCCCTTCCCCATTTTAGTCCACGATCTGTTGCTGATAACAGAAATACCTGAGTCTGGGTAATTTATAAGGCTAGTATTCATTAGGTTTATGGTACTAGAGATTCAAGGTCAAGGGGCTGCATCTTGTGAGGGTCTTCTTGTTGGTGGGTACTCCCTGAAGAGTCAATCCTGAGGTAGCCCAGGGCATCAGATAGCAGGACAGAGCAAGAACATGTATATCTGTCTGCTTCTGTGTCACTATTTTGGTCTCTCTCTCTCTCTCTCTGTCTTTCCATATGAAGCTACCAGAACTCAGTCATGGGAGCCCCCACCTTAATGACTCTATTTATTCTTTTTTTTAAAGAGGGTTTTGCCTTAAGGTGTGTGTGCTTGCTGGAGACAGAGACAGAGACAATGAGAAGGAAATTGAAAAATCACCACTCCTGAACCAGCAGTAAGCGTAATGGCTATGTCACTGGATTCCCACGTAGTCAACCGCGGTTCGCATCCCGGACCCGGTGACTTAGAACTCACGCTGGGTGCGTGTGCATGCGTGCCCAAGATCCCAAGAGGAGAATGGAGGAGAAGGGATTGCAGCGTGACCATCCCCCCGGGGGGTGATTTCTCGCTTTTTGTCTCTCTGTCTGTCTCTGTCTGTCTGGCGAGCGCACGCGCCCTATAGCGAAAACCTCTCAAAAAAAAAAACAAAAACAAAAACAAAAAACACTCAAAAAAAAAATCACCCCTCCTTGGGGGGATGGCCACACCATAATCCCTTCTCTTCCATTCTCTTCCTAGGATCTTGGGCACACATGCACACATGCCTGGTGTGATTTTCAAGCCACCGGTTTGGGACTTGAACCACAGTTGGCTGTGTGGGAGTCTAGCAACTACGGCATCTGCTAGCCCTAACTCTATCTACTCTTAATAAAAGGGCTTCTAGCCCCCAAATTTCCACCTCTTAATCCCATAGTTAGATTAAATTTTCACCATTTAAAACTGTTAAAATGTCTCATCAAATTGCAACCCATAAATTTTTGGGTGCTACGTTCACCCTTCTAATGTTCTATTCTCTGTTTTCCTCCATCCCTGCATTCCTGTCTTCTCCTTACTTTCCTCATGTTCCTCTCATACCTCCTTCTTAGTTTCTTCCTCTTTCTTACCATTCTTATATATTATTATTTTGCAAAAGGATTAGCTAAGAAACCTATGTGAGAAGCTACATTTTTTAAGATTTTACTGCCTTAAGAAATTATGAAGTCTGACTGCAGAGATAATAGTGTGTTTTTAAAGAACTTCAGGCAATGAATGTGATGTTGCAACATGCTATTTTGGGAAGATTAGATTAGTAGGGTCATGTAAGAGAATTAGGACAGAAAAAGAAAAACAAGGCCTAAAAAAAGCTTTTAGGAGACAAACGCAGGAGCTTAGGCATAAACCCCTAGATTCTGAATTAACTAATAGGAGTAGAAACAGTTTCAGAAATGGTAGTAGATATTGTATTAATGAAGAAATATATATTATAAACTGACTTACTGGTTTTGGAGGAAATAGTTGATTCCTAAATATTAAATCTCACCATCTAGAAGAACGTTGGAAACATCTTAAGTTATAGTTGAATCTGGAAATTAAGAAAATTTTCACTGTAGAGGCGCTAGGTTGGTCAGGTTGGTAATGTCAAATGGCTAATAGTAAATAAAGCCTCCAACCTCAGAGAGGAATCAGGGCTGTTGATGTTGTGAGAAAGGGTAGGGAAATTGGAGAATTTAAGATTAATGCCATTTGAAGTAGAAGAAATACCATACTGTTGAAGAAAAATTGCGCTGGACATAATTAAACAAACAAACACGTTTTTTTCTTTTTAAGAATTATTTTATTTAACTTTATTGATTTAACTTAATTTCACTAGAGAGGGACAGAGAGAAAGAAAGTGAGAAAG